AGAGTGCGTCAAAGAGTGTCGGACACGATATACAGGCGATCGACCTCTTGATGGGCGCCGTCTTCGGGTCGTCCGATACGCCCAACGCGTGCATCACTTCATCGCATAGATATCTGGCCGTGTCTTCAGTGTACCAAAACTGACTCAATTGCTGTCAAAAAAAAGGGATAATTGTTTCAAACAAATGGTAACAATTGATTCAATCACTCATTCAATACCCAATTCTCTTCAATATCTGTGAGTTTGGTGTCGTCTTCGGCCTCCAGTTTACGGTTGGTTTCCTCATAAAACTCTTTCAACGCATTCAACGTGTGCTCCGAAAGCACTAAATCCGGATCAACGGTCTCTTCGGTGGTTTCCGATGACATCTCTTTAGCAACAAATCAAATGATAAGACATTTAACCAAAAAAAGTAATCAAAACATTGCGATCGCATTGAAGAGCATGTGTTGTGGTAGTGATGGTCACGCCATCACTCGATCCACACTTGGGTTTCGCTTTAGTTATAAAGTTTTTTATTGTTAATCAAAATAATTGTAATTTAAATATCATTTTAAAATCTTATATAAAATTAATTATTAATTTCATTGATTTTGTCGCAAATAAATTGCAATTTGTTTTCGCATTCTTTCAAATGGCTTTCGATGTCTTCGTGTGAATCACTTTGAGACCAATCGCCACGAGTTTTCTCAACTAAAACTACAACTGAATTAATCGCTAATTTACTCGAAGACAGTACTCGTAGGGCTTTAGTTGTGTCCAAAACAGCGCATTCGTGGTATTCGTCCGCAAGAAGTAAACAGTGTTTCAGAGTTTCGACAATAAGTTTGGGCTCTTTTTGCCAATCATTGGTCTGAACAGCATTTCGGTGACACTTCTGAAGGCATTGAATCACTTTCTCGATGTCTTTCTCTTTATTATTAATCAATAACTTTGCGTAAAGTCTCCATATTGTGGTCGAACCGCTACTCGTGGCCGCTATTCGGCCAAACAGTTCTTGCATTTTAACGGCCAGTTTTGCGGTCGATTCGCCGTTTCGGTCGACAATTCCCTCGCAAAGAGCGTTCACTAAAATGCCAGCAATTTTATCGTCAATGTATTGGTTCTTAATATCAATCAATCGATGCCACGACTGAATGGCTTCGGCGAAGGCCCCGATATCTACGCAAACGGCGATATAGTTGTCCCAAATCTTCCACTCAT